TCTTCCTCTGAGGATGATGATGATGATGATGAGTCTTCGTCAGAAGAGGATGAGTCTTGTTTCTTCGATTCTTCCTCTGAGGATGATGATGATGAGTCTTCGTCAGAAGAGGACGAGTCTTGTTTCTTCGATTCTTCCTCTGAGGATGATGATGATGAGTCTTCGTCAGAAGAGGACGAGTCTTGTTTCTTCGATTCTTCGTCCGATGAGGATGAGGATGATGATGAGTCTTCGTCAGAAGAGGATGAGTCTTGTTTTTTCGATTCTTCGTCCGATGAGGATGAGGATGATGATGAGTCTTCGTCAGATGAGGATGATTCCTCTTGTTTCTTCGATTCTTCCTCTGAGGATGATGATGATGAGTCTTCGTCAGAAGAGGACGAGTCTTGTTTCTTCGATTCTTCGTCCGATGAGGATGATGATGATGATGAGTCTTCGTCAGATGATGATGATTCCTCTTGTTTCTTCGATTCTTCCTCTGAGGAGGATGATGATGAGTCTTCGTCAGATGAGGATGAGTCTTGTTTCTTCGATTCTTCCTCTGAGGATGATGATGATGAGTCTTCGTCAGAAGAGGACGAGTCTTGTTTCTTCGATTCGTCGTCCGATGAAGATGAGTCTTCGTCAGATGAGGACGAGTCTTGTTTCTTTGATTCTTCGTCCGATGAGGATGATGATGAGTCTTCGTCAGATGAGGACGAGTCTTGTTTCTTCGATTCTTCGTCCGATGAAGATGATGATGATGATGAGTCTTCGTCAGAAGAGGACGAGTCTTGTTTCTTCGATTCTTCCTCTGAGGATGATGAAGATGAGTCTTCGTCAGAAGAGGATGAGTCTTGTTTCTTCGATTCTTCCTCTGAGGATGATGATGATGAGTCTTCGTCAGATGAGGATGAGTCTTGTTTCTTCGATTCTTCGTCCGATGAAGATGATGATGATGAGTCTTCGTCAGATGAGGACGAGTCTTGTTTCTTCGATTCTTCCTCTGAGGATGATGATGATGATGATGAGTCTTCGTCAGAAGAGGATGAGTCTTGTTTCTTCGATTCTTCCTCTGAGGATGATGATGATGAGTCTTCGTCAGATGAGGATG